AAGAATCCTTTTCAGATAATCTTTAAGCATCCTTGAGACCATCTCTCAGTTCGGTTAACACTTGCTCAATGTCACAGCTGGTGCGGACGTGATTGCTAGGGTTCTTAGTTATTGAACCAGGATATGAAAGGACAACGAGACAGGCCATTGAGAAGCAGATCAGGGTCGTTGGTTTCGAGGTTGTTTTTTGGCCGCACAACTGCGGCCATGTCGCTTATTGTCTGCCGGCCAAGTCCAAGGAGCCCAAAACTGTTTTGTCTTTAAATTTTTCGGACACATGGGGTATCCCCTACCGAAACCTCATGCAAAATATGAGAAAGTCCTGCGTCCTGCTGGGGGTTGAGTTTCCTGGGGAAAAGGAGGAAATTAAGTGCTGACCATTTTTCGACATGGCTTTCCCTTCATCCTCATGCATTCATTTCACTTTGCACTATTTTCGGATTAAGTCCTGCGCCTGTCATGTTGATTTGTTCGTCCTTCTGTCTGTGTGTTTGTGTTCTGGGTGTCCTGGAGTGTGAGTGTCTGTGTGTGTGTATGCGCTGGAGCCACGTCTGCGGTTGCAACGCTACTGGCATTTTGCGTTGGTGTCGGACACAAAGTTGAATGATGGCGTTTGCCTTTGCCCCAGTCCGCTGGCCCTCCGGCCCGATTTCCTCTACACTTCCTACCCATTTTTCTCGTTCAGTGTATGCGTACGAGACCCAAATATTGTTAATCCCATTGATTTGTGTTAATGATTGTCATTGACACTGTTGACAGAACTGTTTGCGGAACCCATGTTGCCCTAAGCCCCTCTCCACCACTTTCGACCATCCGCTCCCTATTCGGCACCCGTTTCCGGTTCCGGGCTTGCGGTTACGGGTCTTTGGTCAACGCTCTACGGTCTACGGTCTATGGTCTTTGGTCTTTGGTTGCTGGAAGCCAAATTTTATGAACGGTCACCACACAGCTGCCGTCCAAGGTGCTAAATTCAGTTTTGCCTTTGTTTAAATTTCCTGCAACCCACTAGATCCCAAAACGACAGGACCTTCTTTTTACATGGAGAAAAAAATTTTACAAATGTTGGTTTCATTTTCAAGTAGTTCATACTTTAAAGGTAAAAGTTTAGGCTTTGTGATTATGCCATTCAAAGAATCTCAGTAATATTTACGTTATTTTTATATTTTATACCTTTTCCATACATTCTCGGTGCAAGGACTATTCTCGCCAGCTCACTTGAACGGCTGCAACTTTGAAATCTGAAGTGGACCAAGTCCGGGGTGTGTGTGGGTGGCTGGGTGGCAGCTCTGTGTTTGCTTTGGTGCTTGGATTGTATTGATATTTCACGAGAAATCAACACAACATACAAATAGTCAAGCACAGGCTTCCTCTCCACCTAGCCCACACCTTTGAGAGATTTCCAACTTTGTCACCATTTGCAGCGGAAATGAAAAATCAAATCGAAGAAAGGCACAGGAAATGTAGCTCTTCGCTTTTCACTTCAGCTCTCGATGTGTGACAGAGTGAGTGTGGGTGTGTGTGTTTTTGTGTGTTTGTGCTGTTTAAATTTAGCCAATGTCTATAGAAGTGACTGCTGGAGAACCACTCCACTGTCTAGGACAAAACTCTCTCCATCGTATCTGTGGATGTCCTTGCCCGGCTACACGTGCCTCTTTATATGAGTTAGGTATCTAGTCCCACTCCGACTTCAAGTCAAGATCAGACATGGTATTTTATTTTGTGTTTTCCCTCTAGCTTATTGCCTACACACTTGCCAATAAATGGCTGGAATATAAAATTAAATAAGAAATACAAAAGTTTTACATTCACGGCGGCTTACAATGGTTATCCCTTCTTTATTAACCGAAATTCTCTGCAAATTGTGTATTTATTTGATCATATTTCCCCAGGAGTCGCAGGACTCCACTGGAATTTCATTCGAAGAGCAACCAGAGTTCGATTGTGCCAAGTCAGGCTCAGTCAGTTGTTTTCTCTGGGCATTTGTCTGCGCTCGAGACGTTTTTATCGTCTTGGCCATAAGCCTAAACAAATACAAACAATTTTGTCTCAACAAAAAAGTCTCGGCTAGTAGAAAAACGGAAACAGTAGTGGAGGCAAACAACAAATTGTAAAAAGCTCAACAAAAATCGGAAAAAATAAATACAGAAATCAGCAGCAGCAAAGTGGAGTCCAAAAAAAAAAACTGAGACGAGAATCAATTGATTCCTGAGAAATGAAGCCCCCAAAAGACACAAACTGTTGCTCTTGATTTATTGAAATCATTTGCCGCAAATCAGACAATTCCCGCACTAACTGTACATCTAATTAAATGATGAATGCCATCGACAGGAGCTCAGGGACCTGCTCGCAGGACTCGCCTCAATAGATCCTTCGATTGCTCGTATGTGACTCTGTGTTTGTCGGCAGCCTGCAATTCCCAGAAGTTTGATTGAACAATGAATGATTTAATTAATAAATAAATAGGTGTGCGTGTGTGCAGGTACGTGTCTACTCCATCCATTCGATGCGTATGCACAATTTCAATTGCAGCCCAAGTGTGGCACAACAATTAATTATTGAGTTCGATGTGCGTCTTCAGCTCTACTATTCTCGGTGCGGTGCAACGGTGCGTATGCGTGACAACGTGTTGCAGCTCCACTCTCTGTCACTTACAGCCCAGTCGGATATTTGCTGTTTGCCAGTTTGATTTTGTCACAGGACCACAAATCAAATGGACAGTAGAGCTACAAAGTCACGCATCCTAGCCGATGAATCCCAGTTACAGTTTCTTCTTCCTCACTCGTCAAATCAAATCACCATATGGCCAAAGAAAAAGGTTAATTCCTCCCAAAAGATGCTGAACAGTCGGGCCAATCAATTTGCCATTGTCGGTGGCTGGCTGCTGCTCAATATTTTAAGCAAAATTTCGTATTTATTGCGGTCGGCTTCAAGGAACTCTGGCAAGACTTTGCCAGAAGGGGGCTCGGCTATTGGGTACTACTACTACTACTGGAGGCTGGGTCGGGTAGTTCGAACCACAAACTAGTTGGCTGAGTTGGCTGAGTTAGCTGAGTACTTCTCGATGCGCGGCAACCGCAACACAGCACACAGAAACTTTCACAATCGAAAATGATAGCCTGAAGGGGCAGCAACTGCAGCAGCAGCACTACCACTTCCCAGAGTAGAAGCATTGAAAATTTGTGTGAGTTTCCAATGCAGCAGCAGCACCACCATCACCACCACCAACTTCTCCCTTTCCTGGCGGAAAAACCATCGCCTGGCATTTGCCGTTTGGCGAATTGTTTCATTTTGAAGACCCCGAACGGGGCTACGACCGCCACAGCCTAAGCTATCAAAGCCACATAATACACAAAATTTGGGAAGAACACCCGTGGAATATGTTTCCTACCTTGAGGCACTTTGGTACTTTATGAAAATGCAATTAGCGAGCGATTTGAATTTATACCCGGATACCCCGGCGTATTGGCACTTGTACAGTGACTCGAGACAAAAGAATTCAATTATAATTGCATTATAGGCGAAAGTTGGAGCTCATCATAATGCGATCAAAATATTGCGAATTATACGCATTTGTAAATCCAACGCAATTGCCGTTTTGGATGCCATTGTCGATTGTCTGGAAATGCAAATGGAAAATGGGTAATACTATGGGAAAGAGGGGGATGTATAGGGTGGGGGAAAAGCTGAAATGGAAATGGGAAAATGAGGGGACGATTAGGCGCACGACGAATGGCGAGTCGCACTTAAATGGCTCAATCAGACGTGAAATTTGTTCATTTGCGCCAGCCAAGTGCATGAACAAATGTATGATTGAATGGAGTGCACAGTACACCTATACACTAACACAGATGCTAATGCACTCACTGATATGGTACATCCACCCATACATAGAGAGACATACATAAATGCAGTCATAATGGCACATGTAGAAAGCGTGACGTCAAAAGGTGAACGAGATGAAATTGAAATATAAATACGAAACGCATCAGGCGCATAAGCAGAGCAATCAAGCGCGAAATCTGTGCACAGCAATATGCATAACTGCAGTCTTTGTGTGAGACAAAAAACAAAGAAAGAGAAGGGACTACAATACGGGGGAAGAGAAGGTACTACCTTCTAGAAGAGGATGGCCAAGAAGTAGACGTCGTTTCGCTGACGGCCAGGAATGTGTAGACATCATTTAAGTCACTCTCAGGCCCCAGCCAAGAGTAAGAGTAAGGGCATGAGCCAGAACAAGGACCATTAGAAAGAGAAGGGACTAGCAACGGAGAGAGAGATGCCGACTGATTGGTGAACCGCCAAGGCAACTGCCAATACATTGACATTATTGACTTGCTGTCGTGGCATGCAAATAATACAATACCCAGTCAAGTCAGGCTCCCTAGTCAGAGTCAGAGGGGACTGCGAAAATATTTGCCAGTCGAGACACAAAAAAATTGGCAGCGATGCGAGCCGGCAAAACAAACAGAGCTAAACAATAACGAAAACAAAAGCCATGCCCCCTCTGTCTGGCTAAAAGCAAAACAAAAGCGTCAACGACCACGACAACTATTCCATAACAATAATACGAGAGCAGCAAAGCCAAAACAATCAGCCCACAAACAGCTTAATATCACTTATCGAATTTTATTCAGAGACGGTTTCAAAAACCAATGAAAACAAATCCAATCAATTAGATGTATACGAGAAAGGCAAATTGGAAAAGTAATCAAGATGTTTATTAATTTGTTTATGTTTATAAATGAATGGCAAATAAATAGGTTTGTTATTCGATATATTATTTCATATAAAAATATCGAAAAACTAGCAAAAAGCAATAGAAGCTTGAGTATCTTATTAAAGGCACTTGTATCTGATTAATTACCTACCATGGGAAACCAGTTTCATCTCTGATAGGTAATATAATTCCCATAGATCGTACCCAAACCAAAACATGTTTCTGACTCACCCTTTCCAAGCCCATTCCCATGACTTACAATCGATCGCCATTCAGTAAGCTTCAAGATCGCCCCCCAGTTGGGTCGCAACATGCCAGGCGAATGGGGTAAACTACATGAATAGATATGTCATAACATTTTGGAGAATAATCAAAATTGACACCTCACCTTGTCATTTGCCTGTGCCGCCCCCATTTCGTTCCAGTTTTCCTCACCATCTTCCTGGTCCCGATGGCCTCCGGGGGCACCACGGCTCCATCGCTCGCCGCCAGTCCGGTGGTGTTTGCCCGGAACTTCTTTCGGGCCATCACCGAGGAGCCAGGGCTACAGGCTAATGTGCTGGTCTCCCCGGCCGCCGCCCGCAGTGCCATGACCTTGGTGTTCATGGGCGCCGCCGGCAAGAGTGCCGAGGAGTTGCGCAGCAACCTGATCCTGGGAGTGGCCAAAAAACCAGAGATAGCCAAACAACATGCCGAGTTCTGGAGCAAGGAGTGCACCTGTGCCGAGAAGGGGGTAGCCCTGCGCCTGGTCACCCGTCTGTACGTGGGCGAAGAGGAGGCCCTTCGTCCCGATTTCAACACCACCGCCATGGAGTTCTTCAATGCCCAGGCCGATGCTGTGGATCTGGCACATCCCGAGGCCGCCGTCAACAAGGTAAACAAGTGGTTGGAGAGGCAGACCTTTTACACGGTCAAGAATCTGCTCAAGCCGGCTTCCTTGAGCCCGACGACCAGTGTGGTCCTGGTCAACTCCCTGTTCTTCCGGGCCAAGTGGACCAAAACGTTCCCCTTGGAGAACACTTCTACCGAGGACTTTTGGATAAATCTCCGCCAGCGTATGGAGGTGCCCATGATGCGACAAGTCGGACACTTTCGCTACGGCGAGTCCAAGAGACTCAAGGCCCAGATCCTACAGCTGCCCTTTGAAGACTCCAATCTAACCATGATGATCATCCTGCCGAAAGAAATCGATGGTCTGGCGGAAATGGAAGAGAAACTGGGAGAACTGGATATGAACGAGGTGGCGGCCAGAAGCAAGATGCAGGACGTGGAAGTTTCGTTTCCCAAATTTAGGATAGAAGGAGAAATGGATCTCAAGGTTCCCCTGAAGAAGGTAGGTCTCTAAGACTTTGGTATTTAAATATTTAGAATTTTTATTATTAGATGGGAATTTCGAGAGTTTTTTCGCCTGACGAAGCGGATCTGAGTGGCCTGTTTGCCAACCAAAAGCCACAAAGTATCTCTGAGGCTAGACACAAACTGTATCTGCTGGTGAATGAAGCTGGCTGTGAAACGGCCCCGGAACCAGGTAACATAATAACTTAAATATTTAGTTAATTAATAACATTATTATCCATTTTAGATACCCATATTCCCAAGGTGAAAAACAATCCCGATCGCAAAATCTTCAGAGCCGATCGTCCATTTGTCTTTGCGATTCGCAACTTCAAGGCCGTGTACATGGTGGGCCATTTCATGAAGCCCTAATTGAAGTGGGATTTTTATGGTGATGGCCCAGAGCCAGTCGCGCCAGCAGAAGGCAATATCCCAATGAACATCAAATTATTGCCAAACAAATGTACACAATGGCCAGAAAATAAAAAAAAAAACCAGAACAGCCGGCACAGGCAAACGAGAGGGAGTGAGTCTTTTGGGTTTCGAAACAAATGGCAAAATGGCTGGCTGGCCGGACAGATCATTGCAAAATTTTTGCAGATAGGAGAGTTGCAAAAAAGGGGCGGAAAAAGGGGGTCAGACGGGGTCAGAGGAGAACAAAGAAATGGTGGCCGGGAAACCAAATGAAAAGTAACAAGAAACAAAAATTATTTCCCTAAATAATTGAACTTTTGAATGCTCTTGAATATAAAAACATTATGGGCCGTTAAAAAAAAATAGGAATTTAAATCTTTCCAGTCTGAAAATTAACTTTAGAAGAAGCTTCCATAAAAGTCCTTTAAATCCTTTACTACGTCAAGCTTGCATAGAGCTTTCAGAAGACCAAAGGAAGTAACAATGCTTCCCGTGAGAGTATGAAAAAGCGGCAACAAACGAGCATCGCCGGGTTTCTTACTTACCAAGCCAACCGGTCAGGGAAGCCAACTTGTTAGCCAATTTTAAATACAACTGCTGCCACTGACAGTAATCAAGATTGCACGGCAATGGCGGCGCGGCTACAACAATGCCAAATGCCATTCCGGCCAGCAAGGGCCAACAATTGAAAAATAAGTAATTTCTCAACTGTAGTGAAGTTCACGGCATCGGATGGTTGGAAATGGAAGGATGTGGGAGTTGCAGAAACAGCAGGACCTGAAGCTGGAGCAGCTGAGACAAGTCCAAACAGTAGGATTCGAGCAGGAACAGCAAAAGGAGATGGAGGTACACAGTCCCTCGTCCGGTTGCAAAACTTTGCCCGTCCAATTCATCGATGATTGTCCTGGAACGCGATTCTGCTCCTGATTCCGATTCTGATTCTGGCAATGGGAATGGGGAACGGGGAATGGCCATTGCCGTCTGCCATTGATGGCCATTCCAGTTGGCAGTTAGCATTTTGTGTGGCAAATGTTTATCTGTCGCCCGAGTTTTTCCCGCTTTTACCGATTTTGTCGTCCTCCTGGTTGTCCTGGTCGTCCTGGTCCTCCTGGTCTTCCGTCATCGCAGCGGAAGTGCAGCTGCACAAACTTTTAAACACAAAACTGTAGAGTCACAGTGTATCGTGTAGCTGTATTGTCCTTTTATTTTTTTTTGTTTCGTCCTTATTTTTGGCCATCGACGGCATCTGTGTCAAATGCTAATGTAAAATGTCACCGTAATCAAATTACCGCAATTGGGTACAAACAAAATGTATTCGATTGCCGGTTTTGGGCCATGAATAATTACCAATAAATATGGAATTTTATATTGAAATTTCGTTGGTATGCAACCGTAATCCAATTAAATTAATTTCCAGTCATATGCTTGCATTTGATCCACTCTAGTACGAATATCTAATTCAGAAAAATATCGTACCTCATATTTCGACTGCAAATGTTAGTATTATTCTCTATAGATATAGATATTGCAATTGTAATTTGGTGAACTCTGAGCTAGACCCGATGCAGAAATGCAATTTAAAAGCAATCAAATGCATCCACATGCAACATCGAGCGGCAAATGCCGGCGGTCACAAAATGTATTAAACATCTTTGTTGGTCCTGGCAGGATGGCTCTCCAAATGTGGGTGAGTCGGTTCAAAACACACATTAACAATGGGTAACCCCGATGAACTACCCAAACAATTGAAATCGGAGAACAATAGAGGTGGAGTTTATAGAAATTCTTAATAAAACTGGTTTCAGCAATAATATTAATATTATAATTAATCATTATTTGATTTTATTTAAAGTTTGCACTTAAGATACCAATTAAACTGTTATGGGTTTTGTGGCTTCAGCTTCAAGCTCTCAGCTCTGTGCCAAAGCTAATCAGTTAAGACCCCAGTCGCCTTCGACCCAAGACTCATTCAAATGTCAATGGAGGGCATGGAAGTTGTCCTAAGAGGCATATAACTTATTTATGGGTATCCTTGACTTTGACTTACGTGCCTGCCATTCGAATGAGATGCTTCACTCCCTGAAAATTATATTCATATGAGCCCTGAGTCCTGAATTCTGAATCCTATATCCTATGTCCTGTGTCCCCTGTCCTTGTGTCTGGATATATATTACCATTTGCCTGACTCTGTTTCAGGAGGCCAGTGTCTATTGCCCGAGCCACATGCTGCAGGAAATTACATTTCAATTTTAAAACGACTTTCATTGCCAGCTTCCGTTACAGTTACCGTTACCGTAACGGCAACGCGGCTGATGCGGCAGATACGGCAGCAAGTTTAACGGCACATACTATACGGCAGGTGTGGCAGGTGTTGCAGGTGTGGCATCTGAGTGAGCGGCAGCACACAAAATGGCCTGCCATGAGCGGCACTTATCGCTCGACTGCAGCTTAAGCGCCGGTTAATCCATCACAAAAGTGCATGCATTTCCCCTCTGTAGAGGGCTCCTGCCCGTGCCCCACCTGCCCCATGCCACCTGGCCCGGTCCGTGTGGCGTGCAAAGTGCTGCCGTTGCTGATAATAAGCCCGTCATCCCGGCAAAACTCCTGATGAGCTGCAACAGAGGCTGAAACTGAGTTGCAACCGAAGCTTCAGCGTCCGACACGGCGTAAGGCTTTTCATTGCGGTTACGCATACGCCGCGTTGCCCCGGCCAGACGTGCGTGCCGCAAATGGTTTCTGGGGGGCGTAAAAATGGCAATGGCAGGCCACTTCCCTTCACTTTGCAAGTTGCAAGTCAACATCAAGTGTCTTAAGTATGCAAAAAGAATTCGGTAAAGGCAGAGAAATTCTACCAAAGATATCCCTTAAAAATTTATAATATTTTTTGAAATACTTCTGGAAAAATCTGCATTAATTTTTAATTATATTTATATTTATCTTATTCACAAATATATATGTAAAGTATCAAATATTTCTCTCACTGCAGACCATAACAAAAGAGCTCGCTGAACTCTTAGCTCAAGTCTGGACAGGTGATTTAAAAGCCATTTGTCAGCTATGAGGGGAGAGACTTTCACTGGTGGTCTGGGTGATTGGCTTGGGTCAGTGAAATTATTCAAATTATCCCTGAGAAGATTTTGCTGTCAGGCTAAGGCAGACGTCTGCAAGGGGGAGCAGGGGTAAGGATAGCATTCAAATGGCCTTAGTGGCATTCTTTTATCGCCCATCCGCATCCGCATTCGCATTCGCGTCTGCACTCCACGCAATCCTTGAATCCTTCAGATGACAGCCAGCATCCAGCAGCCATGAGCCAAGAGCCATGAGCCCCATTTGTTGTTGCCGATGGCAACCGACTGGATATCCCATCTATTATAAGTGCTTACCACTCGCAGTCGAGCATTGACATTTGGCTAATGGCAAAAATGTCACCGAAATGCAGACCCAGACGTAGACAGGCAAATAAACAGCTTTCCAAAAAGGGGGGCACGCCCCGTCTTGGCTTTTTTTTTGTTGCCGCCCCACCTTGAAGTGGAAGATGCGAAAAGCGGAAATCATAATTTAACAGCCTTGACCCATCAGGGACTTCAATCAGCTTACCTCTAATTTCACAGGCCATCAATCATTCCAGTCAATTACGAATAAATATTTGAGGGCATTTATTATCGAATTGAAGGTAACCTTTGACCCACTTCCCTACCCGAGTTGATGGCTTCAAATTATAGAATAAATAAAGAACTCTTAGGTTTAAAATACAATGCAATTTCCATAAGCATAGTACCTCCAACTATTTATCAAATCTTATCAAAACCGGTGGGGGCACCATTTCTTATCCTCAGCCCCGCACATAATTCATTAAGCAGCGGGAAACGAGTTGGGGTGTGTGTGTGGGGGATGTGATTGTGGTTGTGAGTGGAGCAAATCAAAAGCAATCATAAATCAAATTATTTGATTCATTGATTACATAACACATGCAAGGCCCAGCTTTTGAGAATACGCGTGGGTGTGTGTGTCTGGCAGCTGTCTTAACGCGCCTATTTAATCAACCCAAACCTACATATGTCCTATATATTTCGCAGGACCCACTATTCGAAGTCCCATAACACACATATGAGGACCCCACGGAGTCAAGGGGCCCGACTATTGATTAATAACAATGCCCCAGCATGGGGCCAAAGACGAAAATTGCCTGACTGGATTTGCTAATGGGCCAATTCCCTCCCACATTCCCCACAGATATTGTTCCTGAGCCGAGGTCCTTAACTTAAAGCTGTTGCAAAAATATGGCAACAATTAAAATTGCTTTCGCCCATTGTCTGAGCACACACAAAAGCAATTAACTGTCCGATTTGATAACAATGACAAATATAAATATACAAGAGTGCACTGAGGATAATATAAAGTGGTTTCTTAAGGCCATACCCCTATGGTCCAAAAAAGTATGCTACGTTTTTTGTAAAAATTAAACCAGGCTTTCCTTTGCCTTCAAAACTCAAACTTTTAGCATCTTTCATTTAAAATTAAAGTATATATCCCTGAAGCATAATTTAAATATTTTTTTTAAATAATTTCCCTCAGTGTCCTTGTGCAGGGTCGTAATTGAAAAGGACTCAATGCAGCCAGTGTCTGGTAAATGACTAAAAAACATACAAAATATACAAAATACAAGAACCGAATGAGGAACAAAGACAGCACTAGAAGAAGGGAGAGAGACAGGGCTATAGCAAGAAAGGGAGATGGCATGTCCGGGTCGCAAATGTTATGACAAGTGATGTCGCTTCTTGTTTGCTTTTCCAGCATGCCGGCAAATTCTCAAAATTGTTTTTTCATTATACACACACTATGGAGACTATGGCGATGGGAAAGAAGAGAAGCTGAAGCTAAATTGTGACTTTTGGGCCAAGTTAAATGCACTTTGCTGCACTTTTGTCATGGCTTCAGCTTCAGACTCATTAACATAACATTGGAAAGTCGCTTGGCTTTTCAGTCAAGCCGCCATGCAACATATGCGCCAACATTTCACGATGTCAATCAGCGAGCAAGTTCTGGCGACAACTGAACACAAAACATTTTGACATTTTGGCAAATGTCAGCGGCCCCCAGATGATGAA